TTTGGTGATTTCAAATATAAACATTGGCTACCAGAAATCCCTTACTCTGCCTTTAATGACAGAATTTTCATTTTTGGGTGAACTATCCCTTTAAGGTTTTGATGCTGGCTTTCAAAACTGGAACAGCACCTCCTTACCTCAAACCTACAAGTCAGCTAAGGTCAATTCGTGAGTCACTCTCCAGCACCTTTACCCTCTCTGTTCCTCTCTGCACTGGTATGAGCTGTTAACCTCCACCCAAACTGCTGAGACCATCACATCTTTCAAAAAGTAGCTGAAGACAGACCTCTTCCACAAACACTTTACGCTCTTAAACCAATGCACTTAAACACACACTCACACCCCACAAAAAATCTTCTCGGCATTTCGCCTCTTCTCTAGCTTGCATCCGAAATTAGTTAACCTGTAATAAACCTCTTTTGTGAGCCACTTTAGATAAAACCGGCTGCTAAATGCATAAATGTAAATTTGGTGGCCATATTTTAAGACTGAATATACATTATCCTTTACTTAGCAAAGCTCAGAAAAAGAAAAAGCAGACATTGTTGAGCTGTTCACTGATCTGATGGACTCGATTGAGAGATGTCAGTCTGAGCTGCTGGAGGTGATGGAGCAGAAGCAGAAAGCAGCAGAGAATCAGGCTGAAGAGCTGATTAAAGAGCTGGAGCAGGAAATCACTGAACTAGAGAGGAGAAACACTGAGCTGGAGCAGTTCTCACACACTGAAGATCACCTGCACCTCCTACAGGTCAGTGTCTCTCTCTGCTCACATCACAGGACAACACTTAACATGCTGAGGGATTTCTCTCTCTCTCTCTCTCTCTCTCTCTCTCTCTCTCTCCTGCTTTAGATTTATCCATCCCTGTGCAGCCCTTTAGACACCAAGATCTTGGCTGGGGTCAGTACTGACACTCATCTGAAGGAGGACGCTGTGAGGAGAGCCCTGACAAAGCATCAAGAATTCCTCAGTAGTGCAATGGTGAAGATTACAGGAACTGGTGAGCATTTCACTGTTATGTTCGATATTTTGTCTTGAAGTTTTATTGTGAATACATTTAAATATAATTATTTTGTAAGCATTCAACACTGCTAAAAGCTAAGACTGGCACAGTTCTACAAATTATTTACATACATTTTTAGAAAATAATCAAGTGTATAAATTATTTCCACAGAGCTAAAGAGGATTGAGAATTTTACAGGTACAAGTCATCTATGCCATTTTCCTAGATTCATACACAAAAATGTTTACATTTCTGAATATATTGTGGGCACTTTTAGCCATATGAACTATTAAAACTCAAAAGTGATATTGTCCTTGATGTGTTTTTCACAAATCACATATTCTCACAAATATCATATTTCATCTCAAACTCTTCAATGACACTGAAAAAAAAACGTCATAGTTTTAAATATATACAGGTGCATCTCAATAAATTAGAATGTTGTGGAAAAGTTCATTTATTTCAGTAATTCAACTCAAATTGTGAAACTCGTGTATTAAATAAATTCAATGCACACAGACTGAAGTAGTTTAAGTCTTTGGTTCTTTTAATTGTGATGATTTTGGCTCACATTTAACAAAAACCCACCAATTCACAACAAATTAGAATACTTCATAAGAAAAATACCAATAAAAAAAACATTTTTAGTGAAATGTTGGCCTTCTGGAAAGTATGTTCATATACTGTACATGTACTCAATACTTGGCAGGGGCTCCTTTTGCTTTAATTACTGCCCCAATTCGGCGTGGCATGGAGGTGATCAGTTTCTGGCTCTCGACATTCTAATTTATTGAGATGCACCTGTAGTAATGGATATTCACATTTTAATACTGAAATTCTGGGATAATTGTAAAACAATAAATACATACATACAGGGCATTTGAAAAGTAGCAACTATAAATGATAAACACAGGGCAAAACATTTCCAAGATCATTTTAATGGGACAAATACAGAAAAAGTGGACGAAAGACCAATGTACTATTGTGTATTGTTTATTCCATGCAACGCATATATGTTAAAAATGTCTGCTAATTATTTGTTCTGATCTCTCTCAGTGAATGTGACTATGGATCCTGAAACAGCTCATCCGAAAATCTCCTTATCTGAGGATGACAAACAAGCTGGATATGGAGAAACACGACAGATTGTCCCGGACAGTCCGTGGAGGTTTGATACATGTCCCAGCATCCTGGGGAAGGAGGGATTCTCCTCTGGGAAATTTTATTTCGAGGTGCAGGTGAAAGGGAAAACCGAGTGGGATATAGGTGTGGCGAGGGAGTCTGTTAACAGGAAGGGAATAATTACTCTGAGTCCAAGGAATGGACTCTGGACTCTGTGGTTGAGGAATGGAAGTGAGTATAAGGCCTGTGACTGTCTGTCTGTCTCTCTCTGTCTGAAAGTCAAGCCCCAGAAGGTGGGTGTGTATGTAGACTATGAGGAAGGTCTGGTCTCATTTTATGATGTGGAGTCCAGGTCTCATATCTACTTTTTCACTGGTCAGTCTTTCACTGAGAAACTCTATCCATATTTCAGCCCAGGCTTTACTCATGGAGATAAAAATTCAGCCCCACTAATCATTTCACCTGTCGGAAAGAATAAGTGTATTTTAGCCAATTATAACCATTGGTAATTAAAATAAAATAAATTAATGAAGGAAGAATGACTGTCAGTGTAATACATTATTATATATTATATATATTTTTGCTAGTAAGACTACTTTCTTTGCACAATAATGTTCCAATCACAGTAACCTCAAATAAAGATGATCTTTAAACTTGCTGTTTTGTTGAGAATTTGTGATGTTTTGGATTTTTACATAATATTTTAATGTGCCCCACGACTTATGTTTTGCTGTAACAATATATTGTGTCACAATATATAGCAATACATAAATTCAACAATATGTTTCATGGATAGCGACAATATATTGTGTATAGTTCACCCAAAAATGAAAGTTTAGACACATTTAATTGAAATTTAAATTGTTCTTCTCATACTGTATAAACAATGATGTATATAAGAAAATACAATATTTAAAACTTTTTTTAATGAATTAAAAAAACATTAAAATGAATATATTTATAACATTCAATATTTTAATAAAATATATATTTTAATGAAATGAATACTAAAATAACACTGATTGACGGTAAGTACTGAGGATAAATTTAAATTGTTCTTCTCATACTGTATAAACAATGATGTATATAAGAAAATACAATATTGAAAACTTTTTTTTAATGAATTAAAAAAACATTAAAATGAATATATTTATAACATTCAATATTTTAATAAAATATATATTTTAATGAAATGAATACTAAAATAACACTGATTGACGGTAAGTACTGAGGAATACTGCAAATGACAACACAATCGAAAAAATGAGCAGAGGTTGAGGAACCTTTATTTAGTAGAGGTGTCAATGTGTCAAAACCAATCTACTGTATGCAGTGCAGAACCATTTTATGCCTTTTACATTTCATCTCTATCACTGTCATCATCTGCATAGGTTTAAAAGGTCTTTAAAACTTACGAAAATGAATATTAAGAACATATGTATAAATCCTTACCCTGTTTATCACATTGTTTATTCATTGTATCGTATTTAATAGTATCGATGCGGTGCCCAACCGCTAGGTGTCGGGAAAAGTTTTACTTTGTACTAGTTTGGCTAAAAAGTGAAACTAAAGACGTTTCCTCGCTTGCTTGTTATAGAAGCTGGTAGTTTTATTCGGACAGATCCTCTTTGGTATGTGATTTAAAGATGAATTTATCTGAACAGTGAATTATAGTTAATGTTAATTTAAATGCCTTAGTTGATAATACCAAATATATCCGATTAATTAGTTGTTTTATGAAGTAGTGTCAGTTTGCATTCGTGACAATGTACGAAAATTATTTAATAGTTATTATAATGTGTGCCTATAAACAGGGTGAAACCTTTCAGCAAATTATTTTAAACGGGCTCGGTATTCTGCTTAACCAAAGGCTAATATTGAGTGGAAAACTTGTTCCGGTTGTTCTGTTTTAGTTGGAGACGTCCAGTGGTTTCGGCCAATTTGCATATTCAGAATAAATGTTGTTTCTTTTTCTTCCAAAACAATTCTACCTTCTCAGACTTTGCCAGAAAGTATTGGGTGTATGCTGCTATTTACAGAACAGCCGTCTTCCATTTGATTAACCTATAGGCTCGCTGTAAATCTCAGCTGAAAACAACTTTTGAATTGATTTGCCATTTATATGTACGTTACTTGTTTTACTTTGTCTTATTTGTCCGTGTCATTCTTGTAAAAGAGATTAATTCTTTCACTTTTAACTTAACTAAATAATGATGACTGGTTAATGATTATTGTGAAGGAGTGGGAAGGCCGACATCCATTACGTGAATTCTGCAACAACTTTTGGTAAAAGCTGGTGGGTTTTATAAGAAATGGCAGAACCCTTCTCAACACCACCAAAATGCAGACATAAAAGAGGCAGTATTGATTTGCCGCCATGTAAGTCTTTGTGGTCTGAACTTCAACTTACATTACATTCATCTTATGATAAAATAACATGAACTACTAATATGTTAAAGCATTGCATTACATCACAATGTTTTGCTGCTTAATTTTTTAATGAATATTTGGGTAAGGAGTATTGACATTATTATTTATTCCAAGTAATTTCCCCATTTTCCAGTTATGGATCTCTGCAGCATTCCTCTTCAGACTGAGGAACACAAGTGTCCAGTATGTCTGGATGTGTTCATAGATCCAGTTTCCACTCCATGTGGACACAACTTCTGCAAGAGCTGTCTGAAACAATGCTGGGACAACAGTCAGGATTGCAAATGCCCTTATTGTAAAGAAACATTCAGCAAAATACCTGAATTAAAGAGCAACACAGTTCTTAGAGAAATTGTGCAACTCCTTGAGAAAAACACAACAGGTATGTATTTATTTTAAAGTTCAAATATATATATAAAAAAAACTAAAAAACTCTACTAGTCTCTAAACTTACTCCCCTGTGTCATAAATGTGCACAAAACTAACTGTACACAATATTTGCTCATTTCAGAACAGAAAATCTGCACTTCAAAACTGAATTAATTTCTGAAATTAATGCATTTCTTTTGCTTTCAGCCCAGTTATGCGTCAGCGGTCCATTATCTGAGGAGCTCCACTGTTCCATCTGTTTGGATCTATTCAGTGATCCGGTCACCACTCCATGTGGACACAACTTCTGTAAGACCTGCCTGGAAATGTTCTGGGACATCAGTCAGAAATGCACCTGCCCATTTTGTAAAGAAACATTCAACACATGTCCTGATCTAAGGTGCAACACAGCTCTTAGAGAGATTGTGCAACTCTTTGAGAAAAACACAGGTAAATATATTTGTACTTCCAATGCATTTTTATAATGTGAATTTTAGCTAGTAACATGCTTAGTACAGTATAAAATAAGCATTCATCTTGTGATATCATTTTAATGTCCAAAAGATGGCATATTTGTCCATGTATTTGAGACTTCAGAGTTCATTTTTGCACATTTTTAAAGGCTACAAAAGGGAACCCGTGACGACAGAATATTCACAACCATTAGAAACGGAGGACCAAGAAGAGACTCTGTGCAAACCTTCAGGTAATCAATAATAGAGATCTCCTATTTTATAACTAAATAACTGAGATCTCCTATTTTTCTTATAAAGATATATTTAAAATATAAAGATGCTAATATCTAGTATGCTAGTATCATTACTATCTCTAAATATACTAGCAGTTATGGATAAACTGGCTTCTTTGTATCAAACTGTTTGCAGATATTTTATAAATATTTATTAATATAAAGTTAGTATTGTATTTATTTTCACATATTATTTTTTGTTGTTGTTGTATTGTTTGCTAAGTATTTTTTTTTTCTTTTCTATTCAGTAACGGCTTCCTCAAGCAGTGTCCTGACAGAAAACCCTCAGTGTTTAATTTGTCTGGAGCTGTCCACTGATCCCATGATGACCCCATGTGGACATAACTTCTGTAAGGCCTGCCTGAAGGAATGCTGGGAAAGCAGTCATGATAACACATGTCCATGCTGCAAAGAAAATTTCACCAAGAGAGTGGATCTTAGACACTGTGAGCATCTGTTGTCTCAGTCTGAAATCCTGATGTGGCAGAGCTCTTACCTGGAGCCTCATGAGAAAGTCATAAACATAAAGCAAGTCATGATGCTTGACCTTGTGGAGGATATCAATCCTAAAATAATCCAGAAATATAACAGAGCTCTGGAGATGTTCTGTGGAGATGATCAGACATCTGTGTGTCAGTCCTGCACTGAGGGAGACCACAAGACTCACAACACAGTTCTTGTAGAAGACAAGAGTAAAGAGAAGAAGGTTACAAAGAATGATCATTTATTTACAACAACAAACGGTAATTAGAAATCTTAAAAACATACTGGATGTAAAGCATCTGTATTTTCCCCTCTCATCACAGACTCAGGAGATGAAGACGCACAAGCTTGTGCAGCAGATGATCCAGGACACAATGAAGATAGATCAAGAAATCAAACACTCAGAAATAAAAATGAGCAAAGTGAGTCTTACAACATATTATTAATTTATTCAAAATTATTATCTATGTTCCAAACCACTTGTCCTATGCAGGGTCAAATTATTATGTATTATACAACTGTGATATTATATTGATGTGATGTGTTTGATTTGATTTTTAATTAGAAAAATGAAGAGAAAGAGAAAGCAGGCAACATTGAGCTCTGTGCTGATCTGAATTACTCCATTGAGAAATGTCAGGTACTGAGATCATGTATACGTATTCTTAAAGCATCATAAAGTCATTGCTGATGCACAACACATTTATTTGATATCATTATATTGATACAAATTTACATGATTGTAAAGCTTATGTTTGTTGCTCATCTCTCACAGATGACACTTTTTGAGCACTGGGCGAAGACCAGGATGTAATTTGTCATTTCTGCTTTCATCCTCTTGTATCTACAGGATGTTGCCTTTGCCTGTTAATATATTTAGAAAAATTCAAATGATATAACATAATTTAATCACAAGCCACATGGTTGTTTGGGTCTATCACTGTTTAGTATCATAATCCTATTGAAATCATGTTAAAAATCTTTCGGTAAATATGATATAGCTTCTAGTAGGAACTCATGGTACTGGCAACACCCCCCTTTTCTGTCCTTGTTGTTTTTTTTATCATCTATTTACTAATTGATGTCATTTATATTTACTTGTTATATTTGACCCTAGACCACAAAACCAGTCATAAGGGTCAATTGTTTGAAATTGAGATTTATACATCATCTGAAAGATGAATAAATAAGCTTTCCATTGATGTGTGGTTTGTTATGATAGGACAATATTTGGCCGAGATACAACTATTTGAAAATCTGGAATCTGAGGGTGCAAAAAAATCAAAATATTGAGAAAATTGCCTTTAAAGTTGTCCAAGTGAACTCCTTAGCAATGCATATTACTAATCAAAAATTAAGTTTTGATATATTTATGGTAGGAAATGTACAAAATATCTTAATGGAACGTGATCTTTACTTAATATCCTAATGATTTTGGCTTAAAAGAAAAGTCGATAATAATCACCCATACAATGTATTGTTGTCTATTGCTACAAATATACCCCAGCGACTTAAGACTGCTTTTGTGCTCCAGGGTCA